TATACAGGGTGTCCAAAAAGTCTGGAAACACCTGAATAATTTCCCAGGTAAATTATTTTTGAAAAATGTTAAGGTCACTCTTGTAGTAACTTTTGACGAAGAATTCAATGGTAACCTTGGATTTGACTTTGATGATGACCTTGAAGATTATTTCAAGGTCAGCTCAATTTTTTTAAATGGAAACCCCCTTTTTTGACGTCGGCAATCGAAATAGCGGGAAATTTTACGTCCAAAAACATTATAAGGCCATAAATCGTGGTTGACCTTGAAGGTCATTCAAAGGTTATTTAATTTTGAGGACTGGATATCTTATATCTTGTAGATATCTTAATCTACAAAGATATATATATATATATATATATATACAGGGTGTCCAAAAAGTCTGGAAACACCTGAATAATTTCCCAGGTAAATTATTTTTGAAAAATGTTAAGGTCACTCTTGTAGTAACTTTTGACAAGGAATTCAATGGTGACCTTGGATTTGACCTTGACGATGACCTTGAAGATTATTTCAAGGTCAGCTCAATTTTTTTAAATGGAAACTCCCTTTTTTGACGTCGGCAATCGAAAGCGCGGGAAATTTTACGTCCAGAAACATTATAAGGCCATAAATCTTGATTGACCTTGAAGGTCATTCAAAGGTTATTTAATTTTGAGGACTGGATATCTTCGAAGAACGCAGTTGATGAAAATAGCTTACTTTAGTTATTTTGTTTAATTGCAATTAGTGGCCTCAAACTCGACCTTGTTGGTGTCCTTCAAGGTTATTTCAAGGTCAAATTTTTTTTTTCTTAAAACCTCATTTGTCGTCGGCAATTAAAAGAGCGGATAATAAAGCACCCCAACGTGAGATGCAAGGGGACTCACGATAATAAAGCACCACAACGTGAGAGGTAAGGGGACTCACGATAATAAAACACCCCATCGTGAGAGGCGAAGGGAATCACGTTAAGCAAGCACCCCAAAGGAAACAGTCCTTACTACGTCCCCGCCGTTGTTTCTGGGTAACGCTAAAGTAAAAGTATAAAAACTTCCGCTCTTTCAATTGCCGACGACAAATGAGGTTTTTAGAAAAAAAAATTTGATCTTGAAATAACCTTGAAGGACACCAACAAGGTCGAGTTTGAGGTCACCACTAATTGCAATTAAACAAAATAACTAAAGTAAGCTATTTTCATCAACTGCGTTCTTCGAAGATATCCAGTCCTCAAAATTAAATAACCTTTGAATGACCTTCAAGGTCAATCAAGATTTATGGCCTTATAATGTTTCTGGACGTAAAATTTCCCGCGCTTTCGATTGCCGACGTCAAAAAAGGGAGTTTCCATTTAAAAAAATTGAGCTGACCTTGAAATAATCTTCAAGGTCATCGTCAAGGTCAAATCCAAGGTCACCATTGAATTCCTTGTCAAAAGTTACTACAAGAGTGACCTTAACATTTTTCAAAAATAATTTACCTGGGAAATTATTCCGCTGTTTCCAGACTTTTTGAACACCCTGTATATATATATATATATATATATATATATATATATATAT